GCAGGGGATGCCCCTAAACCCTAAACCCGAATGCAAGCCTTCAAGGGGCCCCACACCCACTCACTGGCCCAAAACTCAAGGAAATAAAAGTTGAAACTTTCAGAATCGACTACCGTATAAGAACCCCAACAGTTGAAAAGTCGAGTTTACAGCCAATAACCCACTCATGAAAGAATGCCAACTTGATGTTATGGAGGGATGCTTCATGTGATTTAAGGTATATTCCTAAACTGGATTTGACCGGGGCTCTCCATATCATATGTATAGGTTCGGACCGGGCACAGAGATGTGCTGTGACGAGCCGTCCGCACTGTCGCGGCAACTAAACTTGAACATGTCCAGAGGATTGCTGAATATGCACAATGCATCACAACACATAAGCTTAATTGACAATGGTAACGTCGTAACCCGATCCCTGCAAGCCAAAGCCTGAAAGACCTTGCTACGGATGCGGTGGGTTTCACGCGGGGCTCCAAGGCAGTCACCTTCTGTCGTTGCCGAGGTTCTATAAACCTGGTATCTACTGGTATCTAGGCTAGGATAGAGCCGAAATCTTCAATCACTAACTTTTTTTGCATCAGGACTTGTGCAATCGCCTGAGGGTCCGATAGCCCTACGGCTCCATGTACCCATATAGTAGAGACTTAGTTCTCAAGCTACCCAAAAACGGACCCCTTTCTAGGGCTTAAGTATCTGTCATAAAGGTACATGAAGCCTTTGGGTAGCTAACCTTAAACCCTCTAACCCATCTTGACGGCAAGATGCGGATCAATGCAGAGAGGGTCACACAAAGCATGAGGAATACCACCTGGCGGCCCAAGGCTTGCTGTAGGTTCTAGGGTTTTTTTGGGGGAGTCTTTAGGGTTAGGGTCTTGGGTTTAGGGTTTTGGGTTTAGGGTGCTTTGCATTTCTGCTTTTCTTACCGTTGGTTAGTTGGGAATGGAAGAATGGTAGTAATAGTAGTCATAATTGTACCCCATTCCTCCATTCCCTACTAACCAAAGGTAAGTTTTGCTACTCGCATGGCTATAGGCTTGAGGCTTCATCGAATCGCAACTAAACCCCCAAATGGACGAGAACTGAAAATTTCTGTGGGTTGTGGCTTCTCACCGCGGAGACGTTTTCTCAGGGTTCTACAGGGTTGTTAACGGCTTTGCCGAAGCAGGGCTCAAGCTTGCTGTTGCGCCTTTATTGATGTTTTGCACCCAAGAGCCCTTCGACAGGCCTTGACTTCTTAAACACCTACTTTAAGGTTTAGGGGTTTTTTTTTTTTTTTTTTTAAACCCTCTTTTCTCCCTGTCCCAAAGGTTTAGGGGTTTAGGGTTTAGGGTTTATCCAACCCACAGAAACAAATCAAAGCACAAATTGCCTGCCCTTGATGCTCCTCCAAGCAGTCTCTACCTCTGCCAGCGACACAAAAATCGCTGGTTCCCTAATTACACGGCGAAAATAACCCGAAGCTAAGAATCCTTAATGTAGATGGGTTTGGGGTTTCGTGCAGCCAAGCCACCCCGTTGAGGAAAAGCACGATGCTGATGACTGCACTCGTGAGCGATGCCATCGTACCCTGCGCCCACGATGCTTGCGAGTGAGATTTCTGGAAGCTTTACTTCAGCAGCACCTGCCTAGCCTAACATTGACAGATCCCAAACGATTGACGTGATCTGATCATAACGGAATAGCTCCGTATGCGTAACCCAGAGAGTACCACGTCAGACACGGTGCAGTATCGTCATGATGGCCCTTCGAGGCATAACAATTATGCGTCAATCCTCAACCGAGTGAACACTCCGTCGACATATGCGGCTCAGAACGCATGCATCATTTCGAACGTTGTGGGAACTTGTCCGCGACCCCAATGGAAACAGTTCATTTCAGATGACAATGGTAGGTGCTGCTTCGGGTGAATTTGTGCTTCCCACAAGTGGTCGTCGGTATCACAAAAAACGAACCCTACGAACCGAAGTGCTGGTGACATGGCTAAGAACGATAAAAACAATTCTCTGACAGAACGCTCGTTTGAACGAGGTTTCTCTGAAGTGACCCTGAACACTGAACCCTACTCTAAACCTATAACTCCATAAACCCTGCACCCTAAACATAATTCCCAAAACCCTGAAGCCGTAAACCCTGAAGCCGTAAACCCTGCATTCCCTAAAACCTGAAACCCTAAACCCTGAACCCTAAACCTATAATTCCTAAAGCCGTAAACCCTTCACTCCCTAATCCCTCCCCCCCCTCAAGAGCCAACCTCGTCCAACTCCGGTGCAAATGCTCCTAAGATGGCCATCATGAGGATCAAGCAGAAGCCTCGATGCTTTTGTTCTGAGTTTAGGGGCAAGGGATTTAGGAATTTACCTATAGTCTCCATTGGGTAACCCCCAAAAGGAACTACAATGGAGACTATAGGTAGGCGTTTAGGGGTCAGGGTTTAGGGGGTTGCTTTGGGGCTTGGGACTTGGGGCCGCTCAGGCTCTCCGATTCCTAGAGTCGAAGGGTTTCGGTTTAGGGGTTGAGGGTTTAGGGTTTAGGGTTGAGGGTTTAGGTCAAAGCAGTCGGAATGCATGCTGCCTGAAAGTGGGTGCCTCCAAGTTGTACTGGTGCTCGCTCGATGCCTTTTTTCTGGGTGCCACCACCGAGCAAGTGAATCCACCATCTCAATTTTTGCTGCATTCTCTGCAGTATCTCCGGCCGGGCAGATCACACCTTGGATAACGGGGGCCTTGTGTTGGTTATTGTGTGTTCGGCAACGAGCGAGCACGCTGCTTGCTCAGGTCGGCTCTGAGAGCTGCTTGAGTCTTGCTTTCTGTATCCATTGGCTTGCAGCCATGATTGAGCGAAGGAGTCACCTCAGATCCCGGTTTCCGCGCAGCGCGCGTCCTAGGGCGACGCGCACCGCGCAGCGCGACACCTCGCGAAAATAAAAATCGAGCGAGCACGCATTATTTTAACAATTGGGTTTTCGAGCGAGCACGCAATATTCATCGAGAGGGGTGGAGTTATTGGCCTTTGCTGGGAGTTAGTAGAACATCGTGCTGGCTCAGGTTTTGTTCTCCGCGTGCGTTTCTCGCCGCGATTTTTTTCATCTGAGGGAGCATGCTGTCGAATGAGCGAGCACGTTGCTATGCGGGTGAGCACGTAGGGCCTGAGCGAGCACGTTCGCATCCGAGCGGGCATGTTCGTGCACCAGCATCACGGTTATTGTAGGACAAGTCTATAGTTCTGTAAAGGACAACGACATTGCCTTCTACTCTCTCTTTGCAGCAGCCGACCCCAAGCCTCGTGCCGACCCCGACCCTGGGCCGTGAGCCAACCCCAATCCTTTCGTGGATAGTGGATTCGCGGGGCCAAGAAAAGAAGCATCGAGCGAGCACCACGACAAGTTGGAGGCACCCACTTTCAGGCAGCATGCATTCCGAGACCCTTGATTAGGGTTTAGGGGTTTAGGGTTTAGGGGTTTAGGGTTTAGGGTTTAGGGGTTGAGGGGGTTTCGGGAAGAGGTTTTAGGTGGTATTCTGAGATGTCGTGCTTTCTACGGGTTTCGGGTGTCAGTTTCAAGACACATCGGGCCAGTCTTAGAATGGAACACTACGAGCCACACAATGACACGTCAGTGATGGTCGACCATTTGGAGGCTTCTGTTTCATTCAGGCGTGGTCAGGCTGTGGGGCATGAGTCTTAATAGCAGGGATGCTACCGGAGCTGGTCAAGTTTCGCTTTGGACTTTTCGTGCTCAAGGCATTGGCGTGTGGACTGTGGACGCTCAACCGTGTCAGGACTTCGACCCCTAATTCCAACACCCCCCTGATCCCGAAAGACTCTGCGACTCAGAGTTGTATAAACCCCGAATCCCGAACTGCATTCTGTCAGACAGCAGAATAAGGACCCTGCCGAAACAGCATCGCACGTGCTTCAAGCTCCGTCAATGCTGATTTTGTTGCCCTCAAGCCTTCAGCCTTGCAAGCCATTAAGCCCTAAACCCCTGGACACTAAACTAAACCCCCCAAAATCCTATACCTTAGAAGGGGCCTCCACCCTGTAATAGTGACTATAAGGATTATATTAGGGCCCTATTGTATTCCTATGATACCACTATTACAGGGTGGGGGCCCTTGTTACAACTGGCCCTGCGCCCTTTTTGCAGCCAGGCCTCCTGAGGTCTCGCCCCTGCACTCTATAAAGCCCTAAACTCCTGTACCCTATAAACCCCAAAAGTCCTAAACCCGAAACCCCTGCCAATAAACTCCTATACCCTAGACCCCACTCCTTTATCCTAGGCCCCAAACGTCCTAAACCCGAAAACCCCTTATGCTACCTTATAGTAATCCTTATAGGAGCCCTCTCTTATTGGGGCTGCCAAAGCCTCAATTTCCCTCTTCCCAGCTGGGCCGAGGCCCCTGCTGATAGTCGCATCGAAGGCATTGAGCGCAGGGAGCTTCCACGGCCATGTGATGAGCCTTGGGTTTGGTTTAGAAAGCTTAGGTCTTTTTTTGTATAGCTCCCTTTTCTGGGCACAAGACTTTTGAGGTTTAGGGTGCAGGGCCAGCTGCAAAATGGTATAGGACTTTGGGGGTTTTTGACACTCACACTCGGACAAGCCTGGCAAGGCCTGCAGAAGTAGGGTCGACGAAGTCAGTTTGGGGGTTTAGGGTCCGTGGGTTTGGCGTTTAGGTGGAAGCCTTGGGTTTCGTTTACGCTCTCGCAACTGGGACATGCCAAACGAGGTCGCACGGTGCGCATTCGGCCGACTGGAGAAACTACGTGAGGACTCATGTGCGACAGAAGAATAAAGAGCGGATTGGCGGGTTCAAGGTTGTGCCATCTACTGATTTTGGGACGGTAGTCTTGACGACTTGAGGAGGGGTTTTGAAGACCGTCAGAAGGCCGGGAAGCACCGCAGCTAAACTGCCTCTAACCCTGTTCGCATCTGCTCCCAGAAGCCTAATTACACTCAAGCAGGTGGGCAAAAATTGAAACAAGATGTCCTGGTAAGCCTGAAGTCAGGCTAGCAGCTGCACGACCATGTAGATAAGCATCACGGAGACGATAATCAACATCTGCACGTAGGGGCTGTCACCGGCGGCCACGATGGCAAGCGAAAGCAACAAACCACGAGGCATCCTGTTGACAGTCGTTGGGGTGGGGTTTAGGGTTTAGGGTTTAGGGTTTAGGTTTTGTAGGGTACAGGGATGTTTGGGGCTAGGGACTTAAAATCGCTATGAAAGGTTTCCGGTTGTGACATTTCTGCGCACTCCCTGCGATTTCTGCTGCTGCTGTTGTTGGGCTTGTGAAGCCTGGGACAACTGGACGGTTTAAAGCTGAGCCACCCTGTAAATCGACAACGCTGGCCGCCACCAACAGCAGCAACCCTACCATTTAGGAAGACCACTGAAGCTATGGGCAAGATCCGCACCGACACCCCTTGTCCGTGAACAAAACAAGTGAGCCCTCAGAACAAAACAAAACGGCCAGATTGGCTAAGCTCTCGGACGCAACTCACAGAACTTGATCATCCACCGCCAGGGCACATGAAGGTACCGTACCACCTTGGTGTGGCCATGGTGTGTATGAGGGAGAATGGCAGTTCAGAGCGTAGAGTATCGCCACATGCTTTTAGGTAGCATAGCACAGCACGGCGGAGTACGACATAAGACGTTCTTGTAATCAATCTGCAGCTTGCAGAAATAATTTGCAGGTTATCGCGGCCAATCTACAATTTACAACACCTGATTATGCACATCATATGCTGTGACAGTGGCCGCGTGAACACTGTAGATTTCATAGACAACAACTGCTTGAGCATTAATGTGCTTCCAACTCAAAGCTAGGTGGAGCTTGAGTAGATAGCTACCTACACGCATTAAATACATAGTACCTCCGTAGCACAACTCCAATCAATGAGAGTTCTTTTCTTCTCCAAACAATGTGGTGCACACTATCGTGTTCTCACCTGCCGATGCACATTTGACGCCCACATCCTGGTATTTACGCAGGATCTGTCGGGCCCTTCCACGGAAATCAAATCCATGTAAATTCCAATATTTTGGTGGCTGAGTTTAGACTCGAAGTATCTTGTGCCCGTGCCTCTGACTCCCACCCGTTGGGGGAAAGCATTTCATTTTGGTTGGTCCCCGTGGTGTCGGGTCGTCGTGGTGCTCCAACATATGTGCATACATAGATACGGACAAACATACATGCACACACACACACACACACACACACACATGCACACATACCCATCCATCCATCCCTCCATCCCTCCATCCCTCCATCCCTCCGTCCAATCCATCCCTCCGTCCGTCCATCCATGCATACACACACATACAAACATACACAGGTACATACATATATCAGTTCATCCATGCACACATACATCCATGCATGCATGCATCCATGCATCCGTACATCCGTACATGCATACATACATACATACATACAGACGTGCATACATACATGCATACATACATACATACCTACGCATTATGTACCTATTATAAGGTCTTACTATTATAGGATCTGAGCCATCGCACCGGCGGAGCCGAGGTATTTTCAATGGAAGCGGTAGACAGGTTTAGGCTTTCGCATTGACAAGCAGATTCGCCTCCCGCACTCGCACAGGGCACGCAAGGCGTGGCGAGGCTCCAGGCAACAGAAACTCACACAAAACCAAGCTGAGGATATGGGAGTTTCCGAAAAATAGGGGTACCGGGGTACCTTATTGTGGACCTATTGGGGTCCTTATCATAAGGATCATACTGTTAAGAGTACTATATTAGGGTCCCCTATTTTCGGAAACACCCATATGAAGGAAGAGAACCACCACCGTTGCAACCCTGTCCGGAGGGGCGATTCGATTTTATGGCTCGGCCGGGCTTGATGTCTCACAAACCCGTGTCGGGATATAGTCCAAAGGGTCTGGCTTTGGAGTGCCCTGTCATCTGTGACACATGTTCAACCCTGGTTCATAGCATAGAGGATGCCCAGTTACGTGAAGGAAGGCCGTGAGTAAGTTGTCACAGCAGCCACTGAAGACTCGGCTTCTTGACCCTAAACCCTCTCTTACTCTCTCTCTCACAGGCACTCGAAGCGGCCTGACCCTAAACCCTAAACCCCTAAACCCTAAACCCCTAAATCCTAAACCCTCATGCACGGTCACAGGCTCTGGATGGGCTATCCAGCGCCAACAGCTTGGAGCCCTCGCACTGACCCCTAAAGTTTAAAGGGATGCAGGACAACCTTGAAGCATGATAAACCATATGAAGCTGAAGCACCTTGAACCCTAGACCCTTTTTGCATTTGGGCTATTCCTAAACCTTATAAGCCCCAACCCTTAACCTAGACCAGGAACCCAACCTTGAACCCTAAACCCAAAAGCCAAGACGGAGCCGCCAGCAATCGGTGCGGAAGCGGAAGAGCAGGAAACGCGTCGCGGCAAGAAACCTGGTTGTACGGTCCAGGGCTTCGGGAAACGGCACTTGTAAAGGGTGTAGGGTTCAACGTACTTGTAAAAGGTTTAGTTGAGGGTTTAGGACAGGGCTTGGGTAGGGTTTAAAGTACTTGCAAGGGCTTTGGTGTTGCGGTCTCCGTGAGAACACAGGCTGGGGGAACCAGGCCACTACTACTTGTATGTGTATCTGGGAGCGTACGGCAGCATTCAATGGTTGCTGCAGCTGTCGGCTTGAATACTGAGTTCGCACATTGGTCGTGACTACAGTTTACTGCAGTCAGAAACCTGAACCATCAAGCCCCCAAATGCTGCAGAACTACCATAATGACCCTTCGACGGAGAACCCCAGCCCCCTAAACCCAAGAAGTAGCCCTTGTAGTAACTCCGAAGGGAGCCCTTGAGAGCATGCCATTGCAGCTCTACATCAGACCGAGCCATACACTCCAAATCATCGAGCGCCTCATACTCAGAGACTCCAATACCCCTTAATTAAGGAATATACCTTAAATTATACTAGGATCCTTAATATGATTTAAGGAATATTCCTTAATTAAGGGATTTCGGAGTCTCTGGGTACCACTCCACTCGCTCGCGCTTTGCCATTAATGCCAAGCCATTGAAGAACATCCCAAGCCCTAAGGACTTTTGAAGAACTAATACAGCTGTTTGTCGTCAGCCAAAGTACCAGGCGTCTCCAGCCGCAGCTCTCTTCGGGGCAATTACCTAAGAGGTGGCACTGGTGACGTTTCTGAGTTGAGGCTTTGCCTGCCTGCCAGTGCAGTCTTATCTGAAGTTGCTTACCGCTCCGGTATCCGTTTGGGGATGCATTGAATTTATAAAACTTGGGCTTCACACAAAGAGCTCGCACACAGCAATAAGTACTATGCAATGCCGTACAACTGGAAAAAGAGCGTCCCCACCGCAGCAGACAAGGTCGGATGTCGGATGGTACATAGCACAGAGGGTAAACATGAAGTCTTTCTTTGCCAAGGTCTGCGCAGATGTCGAGTGTCGCGAAACGTCTTGTAACGGAATCCCTACAGGCAGGATCCTATCCCCTAAACCCTAAACCCACAACTTTGTAAACCTTTCAGTGACATCCAAAGGCCGAACTAGAACGATGACATCTGTTCGGACTCAGTCACAGTAATCCCGCAGAAAATCCGCAAGCTACAACGGTTTAGGGTCCAGGGTCCAGGGACCTTCACCATGCGGTCGTATGGGGAGGGCGTCCGTAAAATCAGAACCCGGCAGTAGGGCACCTGATTTTTCAAGAAAACCTACATGTCGTGGAAGTCCTTCAATTCAACAAGCAAATGCAGCTGGGCAACTGTGGCATAAATTGCCAGGACATAGAAGGCGATCATTCCGCAAAGGACACAGACGCCTGCGATGAACCTGAGGGTCTGTTTATCGTTGAATTAAAACGACTGGAAAGGTGGGCACATGTAGGTGCAGAAGCAAACTGGCCTCCTTCTCGCTCTCTCTCATTATCTTTCTCTCCTGCTCTTTGTCCCGAATTCATTCGCTTCTTTTTTCTCTCAGAATGCGCAACGCAGAGTGAGCTGTAAAGTTTGCAGAAGCATAGTCATATGGACCCCGTTGTCAAGGCAGGGTGATGCAGGAAGCAACGCACCCTGTTGTACATCACGCTAACCCGGGGCCTAAGACTCACTCTCCCTTCGCAAGCTTCAGCTGGTTGTACCACGTCTCCCCCTTTGTAGGCTTTGCAGTGCAAACAACCTGACTGCAGAAACAGATCGTTCAAAGTCTACTGGCGCCTTGCTCAGGGGATCACTTGTCAGGCCCGCGGGGCATCAAGCCCGCCCGCTTCTCTGTGCGTGTCAGGAAGGTGTGAGAGTTCGGATGGTGTATTGGCTGGATATTGCATTGTTAGCTTTCATCATATGTCATCCAGCCAGCCATCCACAATCACGCCGCAACATGCCAGAATACACCAGGGACCAAAAGCAACATACAGAACAAGAGCCAGCACGTAGTTAGTCAATTCCGCATGTTGCCTTTCTGTCTGAAACTCTCTGTCTACCTCTCTCTCTCTCTCTCTTTCCGTGTCTCTTCCGTCACAATCATTATATTGATTCCATCGACTTACGCATTTCTAAATCCCCCAAGCAAGCAGCATCGGCGTGTGTTCAGCGCTCTCGAAGCAGAAGATGCCATTGTGCTCCTGGAGAGAGCATTGAGATGAAGGTAAGCTCGCCGCTTTGCCGCGAAAGCTGCAGCTGTTACGGGTTTCTTTCAGGCTTGGAGAATATGTAGTCTTTATTGCTTGGTATTCAAGCTGGGCTTTCGGTGACAGGATAAACAAGTAGCGATGCAGTGACGGCGACAAACAACGAGCTAGACTAGCTAGACTAGACATCTGGTGCGGCAATTCACGGTAGCATAGAGGTCTTGATAACAAGAATAGGGTTTTGGGGCCCATTAAACTATAGCTAGAATAAGGAACCCCCAAAATAATACAGGTAAGAATTTGGGCCCCTATCTTATACTCTCCTATATCATGTTCATATACCCGCAAACCGTGAATCCCAAATGTCGTTCAAACATGCTCAAACCCTACACCCATGCGCTCCAGCATGCCACTCTTGCCGTTGGGGTGCGAGTAGCACCTCAAGAAAAGCAAAAACAGCAACTACTCTCTCGCAACTCGGATAAGCCAGACGAGGCCTCTAGGTTCGCATTGCTTTCAAGGCTGAGGGTCTGGGGTGTGGTACCTCGAGTATGAAGGGGTGCAGGGCTCAGAGTTTAGGATGCCAGCCATAAAGGCGCTATGCGCACGTATGCGTTGGGAAAGAACTCCGACACTCAAGGAGCAACTCTGCACCCACAACAACCTGCGTCTGGGCAAGATATCTAACCAGCAAAAGTGCAGCTTTATTTCAGATTTGCCAGATGCCGGCTTGGGTCAAAGCCGTCCATGTGGCAATTTACGTCTGCTGTTCCTTATGTTTTTGGTTTCTGTGCGTGCTTACCTGTCGAATCCGGTCATCCGGCACAACCGCCTACACAAGTGCCGGTCTCTCAACCTCCAAGTTGGCGTACAGAGGGCTATTACCGTTCACAAAGTCCTGCTGTTCTGCTTCTTGTTTAGGGCGATTCCACGCAGGACGCTGCATGAACACGTGCACATCATAGTAAGCAGGATAGAAGCCACAGGGTGCCGCGGGCTTCCAATCTAAGATCATCGAGCATCAAGAACCTCGATCGGGAGAGGGGCTCCTCTGTGTGTATATGTGAACCGAGCATATGGCGACTATGTCTTCAAGAGGGTACGACAACGCGGTCCATGCAGAACTCAAAACACCGGAATTCGGAATGCCGTCGGCACATCATCGGGGAGAGTGCGATCTTACTGTAGATCGTGAAGCTGACCTGCGCCAACAACTGCGAGATTGAATTCACACAAGGGCTACATTGCAGCTAGAGGACATGGTATCGGATGATTGCTCTCGAACTAGATCTGGCTCCCATCATGCCAGGGATACCATGAACTGCATTCGTCTGCGAACACAACCCCTGGGTTGCATCGGGACTTGTACAATCGCTTGAGGGTTTTTGAATACACAACCGTGGAAGACAAACACTGCTTGGTCCACGCTGCTGCTGGCTTGGGGGTGCGGTTAGTTTTTAGGTTACAGTTTGGATTACAGAATTCGTTGTAGGTGAAGGGGCCGGGTTAGGAGTTTCTAGGGGTTTTGGTTTGGGAGCTTCGAGTCTGACGTTTAGGCCGCTGTAGCAGCAGCTGATGATTGGGCTGCTGCCTTTTTGGGTCACGACTTGAGTGCTAAGCGTGCATGTAGCCGGTCCGACTCTTGCGGTGTGGCCAATGATCTTGTGGCGCTGATAGTGGCCGTACGGTGATTATGGTGATTGTGGTAGCTGCAGGGATGGTGGTGGTGGTGGTGGTGGCGGTGTTGGTGGGCCAACATTCATATACCACCCGATGCTGCAGACTACAAATGCCGTGTACAGTGTGGCAAGTATGGTGCCTCGCGTCTGTACGCAATCATGACTGTCCAAGGTCCTGAACACTTTGGTGAAAATGGGCACTGCAGATTGGAATCCGCCTCCCGTTAGAACAGAACCCGCAAGCGCACGGAACCACACAACACACGCATTCTACGTAGCCTGTGTGTAAGAAGAGACTGCTCAGAAAACCAGGCCTGCATGAACTGCCCCAGGGTGCTGATCAACTTGCCTGGGCTGTTCTTTGGTGCTTTTAAACAGCACTTCCTCCTCCTTCCATACATAGGACACAAAGTACAAAGAACCCCAGGAACCCTAAACCCTAAACCCCTAAACCCTAAGGGCCTAGTTGCCGCTGTCAAACTGCCACCGGGCCGGTAGGAGCTTGCTGAGGAAGCTGCAGACGATGAGCCAGAGAAGAGCGCAGGGCAGCATGGCGGCCGTCATGTGGTAGCCTGGGGCTCTTGTTAGGGGATCTTATTTTGAGTTACCATAATACGCACTGGGCTCTTGTTCGGGGATCTTACTAAAGTTACCAGAACAAGGAAACCATGCTATCTACAAAAAGATCCCTATTATGGTAACTTAAACCTTATCATGTGGTAGCCTGGGCTCTTGTTTGGGGATCTTATTTGAGTTGCCATAATAAGGAAACCGTATTATGCACTAGAGATCCCTATTGTGGTATCTTAAACCTTAATTAAACCCTAAACCCTTACAGGAATCCCTTACAGATCCCTGAAAGGAATCCTTACAGATCCCTATCATGGTATATAACTTAAACTAAACTCTTAACCCTTAACGGAATCCCTTACAGACCCCTCACTCCTTAACCTCGAAAGGAATCCCTTATAGATCCCTTGAAGGAACCTTATAGACCCCTATTATTAACCATAAATTATGGTAACGTAAGCTGAACTCCTCAACAAGAGCCCAGTAGCCAGTCACCGGCGAACTGGAGACACAATCGAAGCCCACCGCCTGGAGGTCTAAGGTGAAAAGGCTCATGAGATCAAACATCCATTGAAGCTCGGCTGGCCAGGAGAACCTGGGTTCTGTTTAGGGTTTATAAGGGTTTATTTCTCGATTTGTGCTTCAGGGATTTAGGGTTTTTTTGACACAGATCTGCAGTTGTAGATGCGACGAGCTTGCATTAACCACTCAATTTAGGGTTTAGGGTTTCGACTCGCACACTCACTGACGCAGGCACGGAGGTCAGAGTTAAGGGATTTAGTTTAAGTTACCAGAATAGCGATCTATAGTACACAATATGGTTGCTGTATTATGGTAACTTGAAAGAGATCCTTTAACAAGAACCCAGGAACGATATGTAGCCGACGATGCCCACGTTCTGAAGCATGCTGATAGTCATGGCCAGCGCACACGAAGTGGCCAGCATCGTGGTGGCTTTGGCAGTTTGCTTCATGTTCATCATGTAGTAGAGTGCCGGAATGGTGACCACGGCGACGATGCCGGCAAGGAGCCAACCACCGAGGCTGAATGGAGTGCAATCTGCACAAACATCTGTATTCCATGCTTGGCCAGCCGGGCACTGGGTGCAAGGGACACCTACACGCCCCCCGGCACATGTCCCAGGCAAGCCGCCAGGACAGGACTCAATAGGAAGGCATCTGTAGACGTCGAAGGGCGCAGCAGTATCTGTGAAGAAGCCCGGCTGCACCACAGCAGTGCTAGCTCCGTTGCATGTCAAGCCCTCGGAGCACGGAATGCACGCACCCGCTTCGTAGCGGGTGTTGCCAGTGCAGACGACACACTGTCCCTGGTAAAGCTCACCCTGGCACAGGCAAGCATCGGAATCGAGGGCACCTCTAGAAAATGTCGTCAGCCCAGGCGGGCAGTCGGAACAAGTTGCCAATCCTCTTTGTGCCGCATAGCGGCCAATCGGGCATTGCGTGCATCCCGTAGATTCAGACTCGTTTGCAAAGAATCCCTGACTGCACTCGTCACATCCATCTGCCCCAAGCACGTTGTTGTAGCTCCCCGGTGCACAGGGCTGGCATGCTGCCATGCCCGTGACATTGGTGAACGTGCCCACACCACACGGCTCACACTGAAGCATCCCCGCTGATGCGTACCTGCCCGCCTCACATGCGATGCACCCAAGCTGCACCGAGAAGACCTGGGCTTTGAAGTAACCAGGGAGAAAAAAGTCTAGACTTTTATTTCATAATGGTTCCTTTAAGGAGCAGGTACCAAAAAAAAGTATTCAAGTATGGTAGTCCAAACCCAGGAGACGGTCCCTGCGGCGCACTGAGCAATGCGGTCCGATGGAACCCAAGCAGCGCCCAAGGCGCAAGTGCCTGTGCTGCATGGCACCAGCCGGGTGTCGTAGGGGCTCCAAACCAAATCTGCCTGCCACCATCGGTTTAGGGTTTAGGGTTGAGGGCTTAGGCTCTGTTGGGGTGAGAGAGGGCCTATAATCTGAACTCCGGGTCTTACGCGTCATGGTTGGCCCCATGTCGCTTGTGGGATGTAGAAAGAGAGCACTAGGCCTGCCACAAGATTCCAGCGCTGGACCGCTGTGCCAGGTCAGTAAACTCGTTGCCTGGTCCGCCGGTAATCTGCCGGATGAGCTGCACGCCATCGCGATCGCCGAAAGAAGGCGGGATGGTCGTCGGCTCAATGCTGTTGAACTGTCGGACGCGTCCAGTCAAACCCATGTAATCCTTCCCCAAGGACATTTCGTACAAGTCTGAACGAGATGTCGTCGTGCCAAGCTCGGAGAGCGAATGGTTCTGCTCAATCAGGTAGGTGTGGAGTAGGGAAGTCAAGTGCCACAGGCCATCATAGAAGTAACCAGTCCACACATAGTCGCATGCGCCGACTCCATTCGCAAACTGCTGGCAGGCAGTGTTGTAATAGTTGGAGATGTCTGCAAGCCTTGTTCCTGACAGGCCATGCAGCTCCTTAGTACTGACGGTTGATAAACTGATAAAATGATCAGTACGACTTAGATTGCAAATTCATCCTCATGCAAAGGAAAATTGCAGTCAACCCTAAACTAGGCCCAAGACCCGCAACTCATCAGCAACCGAGGTTCCTGTGTGCTTTGAATCGGTGACCGGCCGCTGATCATGAGACCACCGGAAACGCGGGCTAGCTGCTCAGCCGTGCAGGGGCACTCCTTGGACTCTGTGGCTTTGACCTTTAGAAGCCTAAGGGCTGTATTGTAGGAACCTGATTAAAAAACCTTGGGCCTTTATTAGGGTTCCTTGTATGAATCCTACTATCTTGGGGTTCTAGGCCAAAGGCTTCTTAATCAGGTTCCTACATTATGCATGTATGTGCATGAAACAGCATGAAACGATTCAAAGTCTGGAATGTCTGGCTTGGGGTGTCTAGCTCCGCATGGATCCAGTTTGCAACGGCCCAGCTGAGGATTGAGGGTCATGCGCTGACTTCATATAGGGAGTTTGAGATCCGCGTGCAGGTGAGTGAAATAACTCTGCTGAGGATCACATGCTCTGGCTTAGCACAGATTCCTCTTGTAAGCTCTAGGTTACGATATAGTTTCGTGTCCTGTCTGACTCTGCTGAGATCATTCAACCAACCGAACCCTTTTTCGCTAAACCTTAAACCCTAAAAACCCATAACCCAACGAAACCCTATATACATCAGTCGAGGACTTCCGAGGTTCTGACGAAATCCCCATACTGCTATAAGTAAGGTCTTGCTGGTGGCTGACTGAAGCAATGCTGTCTCAATGAGATCAAAGCCTGGGCCTACCTGTCTATGGGATGTTGTAGTATCATCCCGGCCCCGAATTTTACCCAAGGATCAGGGGCACCAGCCATGATGTTGAAGAGGTCGTTGACCCAGTTGCCGAAGGCAGCGATGAACCAAACGTAGTCCTGCAGCGCAGGCTGCAACCTATACATGGCTTGGAGACACCTTCACGTCTCTCGAGTTCCTACAAGCTTTGGTTGAAGGGGCCTTTGACCAGTGCCCTGGGTTTGGACTTAGACTTAAAAGTACCACTCCATACCCACAGGATCGAAACTCTAGGTGGCATACACCAAATGAGTCGACGCACCAGGTAGAAAAGACTGGCAACCGTCTCTGGCAATGTTTCGGTGCAAGCCCAGCAGTCCGGCGGCAGCATGTCGCGCAAGTAATACTGGCACATCATCCACATCCCAATGTACTCCGGAAGAACCATCATGTTGATGCGCGAATCTCGCACTTTGACCTCATCCGCTGCGCTCTCCGCATCTGCCAGAGTGTTTATGGTTCGATCGAGCAAGACCGTCCAGTCGTAGGTGCCAGCATCCAAGTCCCTCTGAAGAAGCTCGAGGAAGAATGCCTTGGCCCCAGCCGTATAGAACGGCCCATCCATCACTCCGACTCGGTGCCAACCAAACATCTTGAACACCTGGCTGTATGCGTGTGTGTATATTTGATATCTATTTTTCTTTATAAGTGTGTGTGTGTGTATACATATATACATATATATATATATATATATATATATATATTTATATTCATATTATACACACACACCATACACATAATTACTATGATATAAATACATGCAAATATATGTAAATACTACATTCACATGTATTAAGGTTGGCTGCGCCATAACACGGGGCGTGGTTTTTGTTCCCTATTTTTTTCCGTTTTTTTTCTTATTTTTTTTTCCGTTCCCTTGTTTGGCTAGGGGTAGGGGTAGGTAGGGGTAGGGGGCGAGGGGGTAGGGGTGGGGGTAGGGGTAGGGGTCGGGTCATAGTAGCAGTAGAAGTACTAGGAGTAGTAGTAGTAGTAGTAGTAGTAGTAGTAGTAGTAGTAGTAGTAGTAGTAGTAGTAGTAGTAGTAGTAGTAGTAGGTAGTAGTAGTAGTAGTAGTAGTAGTAGTAGTAGGAGTAGTAGTAGTAGTAGTAGTAGTAGTAGTAGTAGTAGTAGTAGTAGTAGTAGTAGTAGTAGTAGTAGTAGTAGTAGTAGTAGTAGTAGTAGTAGTAGTAGTAGTAGTAGTAGTAGTAGTAGTAGTAGTAGTAGTAGTAGTAGTAGTAGTAGTAGTAGTAGTAGTAGTAGTAGTAGTAGTAGTAGTAGTAGTAGTAGTAGTAGTAGTAGTAGTAGTAGTAGTAGTAGTAGTAGTAGTAGTAGTAGTAGTAGTAGTAGTAGTAGTAGTAGTAGTAGTAGTAGTAGTAGTAGTAGTAGTAGTAGTAGTAGTAGTAGTAGTAGTAGTAAGTCTGTACATAGTCTGCGGGCTGGCTGTTGTGCTGTATGCTTTTATGCATGCTCTTCTGTAATTCGTATTCATAACATTTTTGGCTCAAGTGAGCACGGCAGTGTGTCGTTGGTAGCTTCTCGTTGCCGCGACGCAATTGCGCGCAGCCCGTCCTGGGCGGACGTTCGACCTGTCACGGTCGTTGGACTTTCTGCTTGGACGGAAAACGAGGGTGCGTGCTGCCCCTTTGGGTTTCCGTTCTCCACAATTGGGGGCTGTTCTGGGAAACGGCCACCCAGGCGGCTGCTGCGCCGCAATCTTTTAACGTGGCCTCGAAGGCGCGCTTGTCGTGCGCCTTGAGGCCGTGGTCCTGTGTGGCACGGGGCTCTCTCCTTCGCTAGGCGACCATGAGCGCTGAGGTCGCAGGTCAGCCGGAAGGAGCCACGTTGCTGAGGTGCATCGAGGATGGGTCAGTGGAGTACCCGGAGAAGATGCCCTTTATGTACTGGCTCCGTTGGCGTAAGGAAACGGGGTCCCGTCCCACCAAGAAGAAGGACGGACGATCCACGACGCTAGCAGATGAACAGCGTCTGTGGAAGGAGACGATGGAATTCCTCTACGACAACTTCGATGCCGAAGAGGAAGAGGAAGAAGATGAAGAGGAAGATGAGGAAGCTCCAGCTGCGGAAGCGGGCCCGGGTGCTCAGGATGGCGATCCGGGCCCCAGCTCTGAAGAGCTTCTGCCGGAGGCCGGGGTACCGGCTCCGCGTCCTGCCGCTGCGCCGGCGGACGTGGCCGAGACGGCGCGCCGTGTTGGTGCGCTTGCTCTCTCGCCGGTGGCCGGCGGCCCGGCCCGTTCCGGGCCTCCCTCGTCTGCTGGGACGGGTGGTCCCGTCACGGCGGAGACCCTGCAGGCGGACCTGCGGGAGCTCTACCGTCCCGACCAGGAACCGGTCGCGGATTACCTGACGCGGGTTTCAAGGCTGGTTGTGGCCTTGAAGGCGCACCAGGCAGAGGTCACGGTGGAGGATCTTGAGAAGATCACTACCAAGGCCACCATCCTTGCCGAGGAATACGGCAAAATGGGAGGTGACTGGCACCCTGCCAGGATGGTGCGGGCCCTGCGCACCAGGTTTACCGTTGCCGCGGTTTCTCTTGGGTCGGAAGACCGAGAGGAGGTCGAGAAGGAGATCTCGTGCCTCGGCGAGCTGATCTTGGCCCTGGGAGGCAAGAGCAGCGGCGATCCCGAGAAGGTTTGGAGCACTCCTTCTTCTGTCCCGGCCCTGGCGGCCCGGACGGGCGCCGTTGCGGAGTCGGGCTCTAAGTCCGGAGCACCGGCGCCTCTCCCGGTGGACCTTCAGCTCGCGATCCCTGAGGATCCGCAACCTGGTCCGGGGGACTCACCCCTGAAGTCCCGCCTTGCGGCTCTGGAGATAGAGCTCGAAGGGCTTAAGAAGGATAAGCCCGGCGAGCCTCACTCCGCCAGCGGCGGAGCCGGAGAGCTCGCTGCAGCTTTGGCGGCCCAGACCGAGGCGCTCAAGGAGGCCTTGGCGTCTCGCGGAGGTCAGACGTCGATCACGACCGTGAAGACGGACCTCCAATGGCCCTCGCTCACCGACGATCGCTCCGACATCCGGGACGTGGTCCAGTTCTACGAAGAGTTCGAGGACGTCTGTGGCCTTGCCAACAACTGCAAGGGGATGAATTTCCGGGAGAAACTCATCGCCCTTCGTGCTCGCTGCCGCGGCTCGAGGCTTAAGACCTTTACTAACGTGTACAAGGCTGCCTCCAAGACCGGGGAAGTTACTGAGAATCCCCAAGCCGTTTACGAAAGGATCAAGCAGCGGCACCTTGTCTTCGGCGAGAGCCGAGAAGAGAAGGAGATGAGGGTGGACGCGGAGCACGTCGCCCTCACTAAGGGCCGTCTCACAGGGCACCAGTTCGAGCCCCTGTTTGAGGCCTCCATCGCGGAGCTGGAGAGTGTGGGTCTTGGCAAGACAGCGAGGGAGCTCTTCCTAAGCTACTTGCGCAAGATGCCTCCACATCTCCAGAAGGAGATCCGCGGTGATAAGCGGTTGTGGCCTAGCGACGGCGCATCCGCAGGGCTTCGAGGCCCTTCGACCTGGGAAGAAGCGCATAAGGTCGTCCTCGAATATGAGCAGCGTGAGGCTGCGCATCGGGTGACGGCTAATAGCGTGTACGCAGGTTCGACGGAAGACCCAGCCCTGTCCGCCGCGCGGAAGGAGGTCGAGAAGCTGAGGACGGAGCTCAAGGCTTCTAAGGCCGCGGCCAAGGCGGCCGCCTCTTCCACGCTTGCCGCTGGTCCGAAAGGAAATGGAAAAGGTAAGCCTATCTGTTTCCATTTCCGCGACCACGGGAACTGCCCAAAAGGGGACGCGTGCCCTTACTCGCACGACAAGGAGCTCCGCAAAAAGGCCCTCGCGGCCAAGAAGGAGCGGGACGCGTCCACCCTGGCGACAACGCCGGGGAAGGGCAAGGGCAAGGGCAAGGGTGGACCCGGAGGGCAGCCCAAAGGCAAGGCCAAGGCCAAGCCCAAGGCGAAGTCCAAGGCGGGCGCGAAGCCGCCAGGGACTATCTGCCCTTTCTTCAAGAAGAACGGGTCGTGCCGTAAGGGAGCGGACTGTGACATGGTCCATTCGCTTCCCGCCACTGGGGGAGCCGCGTTGCCTTCGAACTGGGCGGCCCCGAGTGGCGCCGGGATGGTGAATCCCTTCGCTACGCTCTCCATCCAGATTGGGAGCGCTGGCACGGTTGTTGCGGCGAACTCCTCCGCTTTCCCGCTTGCCAAGAGCTCGTCGTCGAAGTTCAGCTCGTTGGACGAGCTGCCTCAGGACTGGTGGCACCTCTGCGAGAACGAGGTCGGGGGGTACCAGTACAGAACAGTCGTGCAGGTCATCGACGGCATGGTGGAATGCATGCTGGACGGGTGTGCAGGCTCGAACCACATCACGGAGGAACTCCTCTGTGGGATCCTCAACCGGGCTGCTGCCTTGGGGATCGGCACGGAGGACCGGAGGTTTCCTGTCGTGAAGTTCGAACGCTGGGTGCATCCGGAGTTCGTCCATGGGATCGCTGCAGGGAAGCCGGTGCCCCTGAAGGGGGCCGTCGTGCTGAGAGTCCGCTTTCTGGAGGGGCTCTCCCCCGACAACTGCAGCGAGGGTCCAGAGATATTCGTGCGCTGTAAAATAGCCGCGAAAGGAACCTCGGATTGGCATGGGCTCATCCTTGGCGGCCGCGCCTTGGATTGCTCGGGACGGCAGGGCTTGGGCTTCAAGCCCCTTCCTGACTGCCACTCCCTGGAAACCCTTGGGATTAAGATCCCCAGGTGCGAAGACTACAGTAGGTCGCGGAAGGACCGCGCCTACGCCTTCGAGTCCAGGCTTTCTAGTCTCGACGGTGCTCTGTGCTTTGAGCCGGGTACCGGAGGCAGGGACCTGCTCCGGTACAGCGGGGAGAACCCGCTGGAGCTCTTGGCCGGAGATGGGGTCATCGCACCTGTGAAGAGGGAAGGCAGTGGAGGCCAGGATGGCTCCCTTACGGAGGCTGTCCTCCCGGTAGAGTCCGCCAACTGCGAAGCAGTGCCTGGGCTGTGGCCCACAGGAGCCGAGGAAGGTTCGATCTTGCTGGTAGCCGAAGAGGACACGACTGTCTCTCCGGGTGCCGTCGTCGGCGAGGTCCGGACCGGGCTCGCGCAGACCACCGCGTGTGAATGCGGAGGGGTTGAGACCCTCTTTACGGACGCGAGTGGTGACCCGTGTGGGAACTGCGGATTAGGCACTGCCGAAGACTCGACCTTCCCTGGATGCTTTGCGTGCGGGTCCACCGAGAGGACCGCCGTCTGTGGCCTGCAAGGCTGCGGCGCATGCTCGCACAGCAGGGGTTGGCGTAAGGGCCTGAGGGTTGGGGCGGTTTTCGCCCTTGCCGCCGTAAGCACGGTCCTAGGAGGGCCTTGGGCCACGGAGTCCGTGGTTACGGATCCGGATGCCGTGTCCTTCCTCTCCTCCATCCCCACTGAGGGCCAGTGGTGGCAGACGAAGGGAGGAATGGCTGGCCTTTGGAGCGGCAGGCCCCAGGAAGGTGACCCGGAGAATCGGCCGGATGTCGAAAGGCTTCCGTACGAGACTTGCCTCTTGAAGTCTTCTGGCGGCC